ATCAGAGATTGGAGAGCCCAACCCAAAGTTCCCAAGCTCCACTTCTTGAGTGGAAGACGTGCTGGTGGGATTGAGGAGATCTTCGAAGTACTCTGCCCACCGACCCATGACATCCTGACTTGAGGTCAGCATCACACCATCCCCACTATAAACAGTGTTGGTGGTGTACCGCTCCCACCCCGCAAGATGGTGGACCAGAATTGCCTCGAAGCCATACAGAAGTCATTTTCCGTGGCCTCTCCAAACTCCTTTCATGCCTGAGTTTTTGCCTTGGACCAATCTATCTCTTTAATAATGTTAACAAAATCACAATTTCAAAACAAACCACAGAAGCGGTTGTTGGCACACAAATGATTGGCTTTTAATCTTTTTAAAGTTTTTGTTTAATTATTTCAAACCTAAAGTATTTTTTTCTGCATTTAAGTATTTGATGTACACTTTATGTATATACACTTGCTCTTCTCAAGGACGTACGTCCCCTCCTTTCTACTTTGCTTTTGCTCTGTCCTGTCTGTGAAACTGCTTTAGAGCCTCTCTTCTACAAATCTTCCGAATCATAACTCAACTAGCTTTTTGGATTCGGCTGGTTCCTGGTCTATTAACAATCATGGAAGTCATCAGCAGCAAATCTGGACCTGGTCAGGCTGCATGCCTTATATGATTGTTTGGTTCGTGCCTCGAGCACTCAGACTCTTGGCAGAATAGATCAGACCTCAAGGATTATTCTCAGGCATGTTCCATTGGTATGGTAATTTCATTTGGATGATTCGGAACCAAGTGGACTGACACAGACTCAAGTTAGATGTCATTAAAGTTCTGCCTGTCCCCAAAACAATCATATTTATCTGAATTCGGCTCCCTGACTGGCCTTGACAAGCCATCTTATCTCAACCTACCTGGAAGTTTTGTAAACCTGATGCTCTACCCCCTCCCTCCCCTCTTACTGATAAATTTCCATAGAATTTTCAGAGGAGTACAGCTGAATAAACATTCTGTCATAATTTCAGGACTCTTTGGATTCATCTTTGGTCGTCCACGGCACCCCCCAATTGTGTACGGATCTCTCCAGAGGAAACTATTTGAACTGAGTGATTTTATCTGAACTCTGCAATGCCACTGTGTGTTGTCTCTGACTGCTCACCAACCTTGCGTCCCTCTGTAATGTTGGCATCATGTGCTAGTGTGAGAGATTTTTTTTTCATTATCACGCTGTTGACCTTGAAACATAGGTTAAAAGTGCGTTTGGAATTTTTTTTAAATCTCCAAACCCTATGTGTTATTTTTCCTACTTTTTATTGTTTGTCCAAACAAGTCTCACTTGTAAATGAGTTTTCGAGGCTCAATGTGATTTATCTGTTTAAATGAAGGTTAAATGAATGAATGAAAAGTTAATCTTTATGCTATTATCACGCTGTTTTCTACAAACCGGATTCCAAAAATGTTGGGACACTAAACAAATTGTGAATAAAAACTGAATGCAATGATGTGGAGATGGCAAATGTCAATATTTTATTCGTAATATAACATAGATGACAGATCAAAAGTTTAATCTGAGTAAATGTAACATTTTAAAGGAAAAATATGTTGATTCAAAATTTCACATTGTCAACAAATCCCAAAAAAGTTGGGACAAGTAGCAATAAGTGGCTGGCAAAAGGAAATTGAGCATATAACGAACAGCTGGAAGACCAATTAACACTAATTAGGTCAAGTGACAACATGATTGGGTATAAAAAGAGCTTCTCGGAGTGTCAGTGTCTCTCAGAAGCCAAGACGGTAAGAGGATCACCAATTCCACCATTGATGCGCAGAAAGATAGTGCAACAATACCAGAATGGTGTTACCCAGCGTAAAATAGCAAATACTTTTAAGTTATCATCATCAACCGTGCATAACATCATCAATAGATTCAGAGAATCTGGAACGATCGCTGTGCGTAAGGGTCAAGGCCGTAAAACTCTACTGGATGCTCGTGAGCTCCAGGCCCTTAAACGTCACTGCACCTAAAACAGGAATGCCACTGTCAAGGAAATAACAGAATGGGCTCAGGAATACTTCCAGAAAGCATCGTCAGTGAACACAATCCACCGTGCCATCCGCCGTTGCCAGCTGAAACTCTACAGTGCAAAGAGAAAGCCATTTCTAAGCAAGCTCCACAAGCTCAGACGTTTGCACTGGGCCAGGGGTCATTTAAAATGGAGTATGGCAAAATGGAAGACTGTTCTGTGGTCAGATGAGTCACGATTTGAAGTTCTTTATGGAACACTGGGACGCCATGTCATCCAGACCAGAGAGGACAAGGATAGCCCAAGTTGTTATCAACGCTCCGTTCAGAAGCCTGCATCACTGATGGTATGGGGTTGCATGAGCGCTTGTGGCATGGGCAGCTTGCATGTCTGGAAAGGCACCATTAATGCAGAGAACAATGTTCAGGTTCTAGAACAACATATGTTCCCATCTAGACATCATCTCTTTCAGGGAAGACCCTGCATTTTTCAACACGATAATGCCAGACCACATTCTGCAGCAATCACAACATCATGGCTACGTAGGGGAAGGAGCCGGGTACTGAAATGGCCAGCCTGCAGACCAGATCTTTCACCTATAGAGAACATTTGGCGCATCATAAAGAGGAAGGTGCGACAAAGAAGGCCCAAGACGATTGAACAGTTAGAGGCCTGTATTAGACATGAATGGGAGAGCATTCCTATTTCTAAACTTGAGGAACTGGTCTCCTCTGTCCCCAGACGTCTGTTGAGTGTTGTAAGAAGAAGGGGGGATGCTACACAGTGGTAAAAATGGACTTGTCCCAACTTTTTTGGGATTTGTTGACGCCATGAAATTTAGGAACAACAGATTTTTCCCTTGAAATGATACATTCTCTCAGTTTAAACTTTTGCTCTGTGATTTGTGTTCTATTCTGAATAAAATATTAGATGTTGGCACCTCCACATCATTGCATTCAGTTTTTATTCACAATTTGTTTAGTGTCCCAACTTTTTTGGAATCTGGTTTGTATATGTGTGTGTGTTTATATATATATATATATGTGTGTGTGTGCGCGTGTGTGTATATGTGTGTGTGCGTGTGGGGGTGTATATGTATGTATGTATGTGTATATATATTTGTATGTATGTATGTATGTGTATATATATTTGTATGTATGCATGTATGTGTATATATATTTGTATGTATGCATGTATGTGTATATATATTTGCATGTATGTATGTGTATATATATTTGTATGCATGTATGTGTATGTGTGTGTATATGTATATGTGTGTATATATGTGTATACGTGTACATGTGTATATATGTGTATACGTGTACATGTGTATACATGTATACATGTGTATACATGTATACATGCGTGTATACGTGTATACATATGTGTATACATATGTGTATACATATGTGTATACATGTGTGTGTATATGTGTATACACGTGTGTGTATACGTGTATACACGCGTGTATACGTGTATACACGCGTGTATATGTTTGTTTATCAGAGTGGATTCACGTGCTTGTCCAATCTGTGTGACTATGGGGAAAACGTGAAATTCCCCCCAACCCCAAAATAAGCCGTCTCATGAACCTTATAGATTATTCGGCTGGTTAAGCAGCTGCAGTAAACAAGCGGGGGAGGCGGAAACCGACTTCTAACCATTTTGCTTCTGCTCTGATGCTTATATGTAGACATGGATCAGTTTAGTGGCTGCTTTTAACCCTGATTAATTTTCCCCACAGAGTCCAATCTGAAAAAAAAAAACATGAAGTCAGCAGACATTCTGTGAGTGCTGCAGTGTGCTCTGACTGGATTCAAACTCTCACTAAAAATTTAAAAATGGCTTGTTCTGTGTACAGTTTGAGATTATTATTTCATCCCTGACTGCCGAAAGGCAATGGTGGTGGATTTCTTATTTATTTTTTGCCTGTCCCCATATTTGTGTGTCTGCTTGTCTGTTAGCAAAACTTCTTATAAATCACTCAATTAATCTTAATGAAACTATCCGAAAGTAATTATTCATTGTATGTCTATAACTGATTACCTTTTTGAAGTACCCCCAAGTCAAGATGGCTGACACAGCTAACTGACTTCAAGAAACACTTAAATGGCTATAACTCAATAAACTTTACATATATTAACCTAAAGTTTAATGTGATTGTAGCTGAAACTAATACACAACATATATTCAAATTTTTAGAGATTGCACAAGGTTTTGTTTAAAAATTTGCCCTTAAGTGCCATTTGGTGTAAACTTTATCGGTCTGTTAGCAAAATATCTTGTGGATCACTGCACAGATTTTATTGAAACTTTCAGGAAACAAATACTGTATATACATCTACAACTGAGGAACGTTTGAAGCAAAGCAAATTTAATAAGGCCAACACAGCCAAATTTTCGGGCTACTGTTTAATGTACCGTATTATTTTACATTATTAATATTTGGCGTATAGCTTAGATCTTTTAGCGTATCGTTTAGTGTTTGTTTAGCGTATATCTTAGATCCTTGTAGATTGTTTCTTTTAATACTTCATATTTTTGCTTTTTTTGGGTGTAACTGGGACTTTGGGTACACAATTTTGTTCCACCTCATGCACCACAGGTGATGCAAATGACAGTAAAGAATTTTGAACAGACAACTGAGTAGAAAACATAAAAGTGGTAATAATTTAGTTAATTTTACAGATATTGAGCTAAAGTTTGATTTCATACTATTGTAGCTAAGAGTCATTCACAGTATGAAGCATGACCTTTTGCAGTTTTACACACAAAATTTGATCAAAATAACTACAACACTCTCATTTTTTCAACATAAGCTGATCCTAATATCAAACTCTGGCATTAAAGGCAGCAAATGATGAGCATTTTTTTAAAGAATGACGTCCAATTATAAAAAATTAAGGCATATGTGGACGTTTTTTGGGCTGTAAAACTGATTCATCTCTCCTTTCACTCATCGATGGTGCCGTCCTCTGCTTTCCGTTTGTTCAGGAAAGGCCAGCAGCTGGAGCCGTCGGAAAAGTACGTTTTGAACAGGTTGGAAGGCCGACGCAGCATGCTGACGATCCGCAACATCCGACAGATCGACGGAGGAAGTTACTCCTGCAAAGCCACCAACAAAGCAGGGTCTCAGGAAAGAGAGCTCTTCCTCAAAGTGTTTGGTAAGAATGCAAACTTTATTTAAAGCATAGACACGTATCTGAAAGTTGTTTTTGACCTTATCGCATGTAGCTACTATATATAAATATTTAAAGTTGCAGATTTTTAGGAGGCATTTGTAAATATTTGACAAGTATCAGTAAAAGTCATGATCTTCATGGCTTCTAGCCCAAGAAAAAAAAAAAGCACTGTACTGAAAAAATAATGTTTACATCCTAATCGGTAACCAAAATGTCTTGACTAACCACGAAAAAACATGTAACCTGCATATGCAATGGTGTCTGACGTAATTATCGCCTGTTGCCATGAAAAGACCATCACGCCTTTGCTTGTGTTTGTGTCTGTTAGCCTGTTGGCGAATATGTTATTGCCACTGGGTGTTTTTTTAATAAAACTCTTCTAAATGAATTGTTGTACGGTTGCCATAGACAAAGAACTTCAGCAAACACCAAAGTACAGTTATTATTCAGTGAGCTCAGATTTGGTGTGGAAGTTGCATTGGCAATTTTAGCCTCTTTTCGGAAAAAAATAAGAAACCATCATTAGGATTTAGTAAGGAAACTCGGTTCTCAAACTTTAGATCAAGGGCGTCAGAAGCATCCGTATTGTGGGGGCGACACAATGATGTAGGTGTGTGTGTGTGGGCGCGCACGTGTGAGCGCACGTTAAAAAAAGGTGTTCACTAGTGAACAAAAAAGCAGCATTTCACCTAAATTTCCTTTGATTCCACACATTTAAAGTATGTTTCTTACCAAGTTTGTGTAAATTCAGCTGTGGGTTTAAAGACATTTTAACTTTAATACACTTTAATACAGAGCGTCAGGTCGGCACTATTTGTCTTTATAGAGAAATAAAAAACATCACCAATGGACTTTTTTTGTTGTGTTCAACACTACTCATCTAAATGATGTTTCTCATAAAGCTTGAGGACAATAAGGTGTGGGGTTTTAAAGACATTTCAACTTTAATGCACCTGAACACACAGCATCTCTTACACCTGCAGCATCTTACAGCGTCACACTTACTGCTAAACTAAGATGCTACAGACGTAGTGCTGCACTTCTCTCCTCCTAACATGAATATGTTTATGATCGATCTCCTGGTCAACAACTGCCCGCACTAAGCTCGCTAAACTAGCGAGCGAGTAACACAGGTACCTCCAGGTCCTCCACCTGTGCGCGTTTTCTACCGAGGCAAGAGGCAGTTGGAGACGGTGGAGAGTTGGAGGTAACCAGGAAAATCTGGAGTGGAGTTTTAGTGGCCTGAGTATTCTCCTATTAATCAAGTGGATTGGATTCGTTCACGAAGAAAGAGAAACTGCGTTGCCTGAACTAATGTTTTATAGTAAAAGTGTGTGTGTGTGGGGGGTCCAAATGAACGTTTTTTTAATGTGGGGGGGACATGTCCCCTTCACATATAATGGTTGCGACGCCTATGCCTTAGATTCACCAAAATATTGAATACATTTGGAATAAATGTTGAATGAACACTTAAATGGGCCAGTAAAATCTATGTTGATATATATATATATATATATATATATATATATATATATAT